AATATATATATATATATATATAAACATATATAACATTATATATATATATATATATGTTTTCTCAATGCGAGAATTGATTGTAAATGTTAATAAATAAAAAAAAAAATATGTATATATATGTCGGAGATGAAAGGACACCGGGACTTTCCTTTCGAATTCTTCGGAAAACCCCCAATATTTTGCCTCTATAGCTTAACTCGATTATAATTGTTCCAGATTTATGATAGTTTGGACTCGAGACGACAACCAGTCGCCGAACGTAGCCGCGATCACGGGATAAACGTTTTTACCTAACAGAGGTATGGAGTAATTCTATAGCTCTCGTTAAAAGAAATAGTTGTAGCGGCACGCGACAGTAAACATTCCAACGGTTTCTGTTCCGTGACTCGCCACACGCAGACCCTATTCTTCGGACAAGATGATTACCAGATGTCGATGCATCTCCACAGTACATGTTCAGCTAGTCTGAGGACCCGTTACAAATCTTAAGATTTAGTTAACTAAAGTCCTTCAAACAGACAGACAGTCTTTGTCCTAACTACAGGAAGATAGGAGAAATCTATTTTTCTGACGAACGATGTTTCCCGCTAGCAACTTTCCCTCATTGGCGGCTAGCATCCTTCTCTAACCACCAACATGGAAATTGACCAATTAACAGCAACGTCAATTTCCCTCACTTTCCGAACGAAGGCATCTCTCCACGAATCGGGTGATCTTGTGTCCTTAGACACACCCCATCATAGTTATCCTCTGCAGCATCATCGTGACGGAAAGTCATTCTCTGGTGAGGTCGTATTAGCGCGTTACTTAGCATCTTTACGCTCGGTAGATATTCCACGTTTTAACAAAGAGTTAGTTTAGTAATTCTTGTACCGCAGCCAAGCAAGTCAATCAAACCAGCTACAACGATTTGGATAACATAACATAATACCATCGATATTAATTTTGCAAATTATTCGGGTAAAAATAGGCAAAGATTCAACTATAAATTTCGACGAATATATCGGATGTAGAGAAAGGTACCGCTATAAATTAGATTTAGCTCCATTTTTTAGAAGACTGGGATAATTTCAATTGTTCGGTACTAAAGATACAAAGTGTCCTTTTCCACGAACAAAATCTGATAATTGAAACTAATATAAATAATATCTATAAATAAGATCTAATAGCTCCATTTGTTAGCATGCTGCGATAATTTCAATTTCTCGGAACTAAGGATATTAAAGTCTCGTTTTCCACGAACAAAATCTGATATCTAAAAGGTACAAATCTGATAATTGAAATTAAAGTTTAATAGACGCAAAGTAAAGATCCAGAAAATCGGAGCAACGATACGTATAAAGAAGATTCGAAGACTTCGAATGAAAATTGCTATTTTATAAAAATAAGATTTAATAATTCCAATTAATGTTTATTATTTTAATATTTAATCAAAGAGACGTCGCACGTGAATGAATTACAAAGTAGCCTTTATCAATCCTTTAGTAGCTCGTATATTGTTCGATAGGGATTTTACAGGTGTACATTAATGGGAACAACATCTATGTGTGACTCATCGTAAATACAGCCGGAGTTTTGTGTCCATCACGCTACAAATCGTTTAATACGTGTTCGATACAATTTGAACCATCTATTTTAATAATCGGTAGACTTCGTTCTTATACATACGGTAGACAGATATACAAAAACATCATATCGTACAAAATAGTAGTAGTAGTATCACCACCAGTTTCGTTCCCACGGATTCTCCTTTTATATACGATACCCTCTCATTGACCTTCGATATTTCCAGCTTATCGTTCTATTTCGTAACAAACCTTATAAAAATACGATCTTCTAACTCTTTATTTGGCCACCGTTCCATTTTTTTTCGATTTGTTTCTCTTTCTAATAAAAATACACAACCTTTCTTTCTTCGTTTATGAATTTTAGATATATTTCGTAAGAAGTACGTAATAAATCGCAATTTTGTACCCCGTTTTTCCTCACCTTTTCTTTTACTTTCAATTAGAAACTACGTACGATAATGAATATATGAATTCTAATAGTCTCTCCAAAATCAACCCAAAAGTCTCATCTTTTCTTTGCCTCTCTATTTTAACGAAGAAATTAAGAATTACCATAAATGAATTATACAACGACGACTCAATGATAGCAAAATAACAATATCTAGATAACGAATATTGATGTATTTCTAAAAAAATATATAAAATATTGAAAGTAAAATAACTATTATGATATCTGATAAATGAAAGGAATTTCCATTTTGATTCAATTTCTTCAGTGATTTCCTTAAAAAAATGAGTGTCCATAAATATTGTTCCAGCAATAAGCATACAAAACGATACTTAAATATATAAATAAGAAGTTTGACAAAGGCTTAATTAAATTGTCGTCTTAGCCTGATATCAAGAAACTACTAAATATCAATAAAATAAACAAAAACTCTTTTTAACTGGACAATGAGAAATCATATTTTATTTTTAAAATAGTACCAAATATAAAATAAACAATAAACTTTGTTAAGCAATTTGTCCGATAGTTAATCAAATTATCCTCGATCGTTTCAATCAGTCACCAAATAAAGAGTTAAAACGCTTTCACCTTGTAGAGCAAAGAATCGAAACGATTACAATGGTCGTCGCCTCACTAGTTGCGCGTGTGTCTTGACCGTACATCGTGGAAATTTGGTTCAACATCCTCTCGTTCACGTCGAAATAAGCTTCTAAACCGAAACTCAGTGGCGTTCATGGAAAAATTCGATGCTTTCTCTCGATTTTGCACGGTCGTTTTCGTCAATAAATATATACCGTACACAGAGATCGGTCGAAAGAAGAAAACAAGTGAAAAATCGCGGAAAGATTGGCGCGTTTCACGCGCCTCTTATTATCTACAAAAAGCCATATTAGATGAGCCATTCGATGACGAAAGACTTTTTTCACTTTTCTACTCCAACTTCCTTTTTTTTTTGCTCTTCTAATTTTCTCTTTTCCTTTTCACTCTTTTTCTCTTTTCATTTGGTTGTTTGCTTATTATTTCTCTATCGTTCCTTTTGTACTTGTCTTGTCCCATTTTTAACCCTTAAAGGCTACCATGAGCGAAATTTCACTTTGTGTACAAATTTTGTTTCTTCATAATATATTAATCGTACGTTATGATCAACATTACTCAGAGTTTTGTCTTATATTAATAATTGCAAACGATACATTTTCTACTTTTTTATTACATACAGTAAGGATAACGTTCAAACTGTTGCAATAAGGAGGCAGCTCCATTTTCCAGTAATTTGAGTAAACCAATAGAAACTAATTTTTTGAGACGCACTATAAATTCACAGTCGACTAGTATTTCTAGTTATAAACTTTTATATTTCTGAATATGAGAGAAACTCGAGTATGAAACCTATAGTTGATTCTCTTCCAACAAATATAATTTAAATTATTGCTGCGACCCCGTCGATTGCATTTGCTTGACTTTGTCATTTTTGAAAATAACCAAAAATGTGCCGAGCCAGGGGTGAAATTTCATTCACGATAGTATTAGTGTAATTTTCTTGATCAACAGCTTCTAAGTGTTAGTTTTCGTTTTATCCTCGGTTATATTCGCCGCGAGGAACTGAACAACGTATCAGAGGATTAAATGAAGGATTAAAGGCATTTCGACGCGTGTTCGGATTAAAAAATGAAGACGAAAAGAAATAAACGAGGAAAGAGCTTTGATTTCCATCCACGAAACCAAAAACGCACTCGGGGCTGTTGTACTATGATCCATGATTTTTTTATTAAACAAATTAAATACAAAAGATCGCATCTTTTTTCTCTGTTTTCCTTGTTGCTCTTACTGCCGACCGCGACGCGCAGTCGCTCCATTCTCGAGTTAATATAAATAATTAAAAACAACAGAAGAGAACGGGGGAGGGCAAGGGGCATTAAATAAAAAGTAAAAGAAGTCATCGAGGGGTAAAAGGAGGACGAAGTTCGTGGAAGAAGACAGTTTAAAGGCTTTTTCTACATGTTCTGACACTCTTTCTCGCTCTCTCTCTCTCTCTTTCTTTCTTTCTCCATAAACATACTTGCATGCGCGCATTACACAAACTCTACGACAAGGTGGATCGTTTCGTTTAAAATTAAAGGAAGAAGGAGAACTCGAGCTTCGGCAATTCAAGACTAGTGAAAACTTAATAATCGCCTGTGGCTCATCGTATTACTCTCATTTGAACGATTTCGCTCATTTCTTACAACTTTTTCGCTTATCTCGCTTCCATCTCAAATCACGAAGTTCAAATCATTTTCAATTTTAATAAGAATACTTTTTAATCAAATTACGTTACGTCATATGACAACGTCATTAGTAATTTGCCGATTTTATTCATCGATTTGTTAAATTTGAATTTCGCGGGGAAATGAAGCACAAATTGAAAAATTCATAAAGAGGAACGAAATCGCGAAAATTGAAATAATCGGTGAGGCGTAAATGCTTCTTGGAATGAACCGCGTATCCTTGAACCGCCAAAGATGCAAAAAGAAAAACGAACAGGGGAAAGGAAAATTCACGAACAGGAAGATCGTTTCGGGGAAAAGTTTATAAAACAAAACACAAAAGATGATCGATCTTACGATAAAAAGCTCGGATGGAAAAGAAAAGGGAACGGAAATAGCATCGTTTTCCTGCCTGTTTCGTTCGTTTGTTCCTTCTACGCTCGAGTTACTAAGAACCTTCTGATCGATATTTTAAATGCTGCTGGACACAACGCTCGCCACTATCAAACACTTCCTTCGAGAACGTTCGATTAATTAATAATATTTAAAAGTCATTAAAGGATATGTACAAAGAGATATTAATATGAATATGCAGTAAATGTCGCCGTTACCGCAGGATCCGCGCGAAACCCAGCGACTAACATGGATGGTTCGACTTGATTTGTTCGCGCGGATCGAACGTGGCGAGGATCAGCACGGTGTTTAACAATCTGCTAATGTCTTTTGTGTTTTCCAAAACAGGTCTGGTCAATATTAACACATTGAGAATAGTCTGTCGCGTATGGGAAGTATTTGTGTCGGGTATGATTCACGATGGGACGCAACAACGTGGAATGTCGATATACGACACGCTCGAAAGCCTCAAGAATTAGCTTTTTTCAAGAATTTTTCCAAGAATTTCGAGCGTTTCAGGGCTCAATAGAGAGAAAAGAAAAAAGGGAAGCACCGTGTTAATCCTCGAGACTGCTGCTCGCTTTGCACGAGCATTTTGGCAGATCGTTCATCGCGAAAGGAGATGCCTTCGAAATTAGGCCCTCTCTGCCTTAATACAACCGCGTTTTCGTATGTTCGATATCATCGACATAGATAGTTTTCGAGCCTTGCGCGAGAACGAATTTTTTAGATCGCAGAATTTTTTGTTTGCACAAATCACTGGTATTTTAGCTCGAATATTTAGTTGTCTTGGCGAATTATCGATATAACAATTATTAGTCTCGGCCTGTCGGCGAGATGCGCGATGATATTTATCTTTTAGCGGTTTTCTCTTTCGCTTTTGGGAATCTATTTCTTCTCTCTTCCCCTGAGACAGAGGCTTTGAAAGAGGCGATCTTGCTGCTTCGTTCTCTTTCGTTTTAATACGCTCTTCTTGCACGGCGCGGATTATACATATAGATATATTTATATATTTATAATATATATTTGTTTTTTATATATAAAACTAAAAGTACCGTGATACTGATAAAATTTCGGAAAATATTAGTTATCGACGAATGCGCTTCGGTGCTCCGTAATATTATTCTTCGATAACGATAGATCGAATTCGAGAAGGTCGAGAAATATAAGTTACAGCAGATCTAAAATTCGTTTTCGATTAATAATTAATTACTTCGGTAAAAATAAGTTGAGCATACGCGATGCATATCGATTATTATATCCTCTCTCAATTTCCTTCCTGAAACGCTTAATACCTTGTTGTTATATTTGTTTCCTTTCTTTCTTTCGTTCAGACTCGCATTCGCTCTCTCGCTTTCTCTCCCTTTCTATCACCCAAACTCCTCAAACACGATCTTTTTACTTTTAATTTTTATTCTCGATTGATTTTTCTTTCTTCCTCGCGTTCCTACTGAACCTGCACTCGCGCTAGATAATATTAAACGCTGGAACAACGCTACGAGCGCTATAAGCATACTCGTACATTACGGATAAACGCTTTAAAAATGAATTTCAAAAGCCCAGGAACGATACACATATACATCTTCGTACAACACACCCTCTCGCAACAGACTCGCTTTTTCTCGTTAGTCCCTCGAAAAATACTTTGTACTTATGATCGCGTCAACGATAAAACTCCGTACACATACACATCGAAGCCGTAAAATCAGGTCTCCCCTTAAACGCCATCAATACAATAAATTTCTGGTTTCGTGACACACGAATAACATTCATACTGTATACAACAAGCGAAAAAATAAAAATGAATGATTACTCGAAAGCTTGTCACAATTATCTGCCTTTAAAAAAAATGTAAAAACACAAATAATACGTAGCTTGAAATTATCGAAATTCTAAAAATCTGATACGAGACTGCATACGATACAATCGAAACCACATTCGATAGACATCGAAGAAGGATACGTTAAAAAAAGAAAAAGAAAAAAAATAAAAGAAAAAGAAGAACGACAAACGTTAAATTTGCATATGTATCTGGTTTGATTCGCTTTTTTGCACATTGAATTTCCTATCTCTCGGCCAAACACGCGTACATGCAATAAACACATTCATGCATACGTCATTCTTGCTGAATTATATGCTACATTAAACGCTACACGCTATGTACACCAAAAACGTATACTTAAGCTACTCTGGGCGTTCGGGGGTTAGCCTAAAAAGTAATATAATACAGGACACGCCGTCATTCGTACTCCCTGCGACGATTACGCGGTATATATAACATCTTTGGACTCGATTTATTACACATTTATAGAGAATTATTACTTATGACCGTAATTTCTCGCGCCTAGTCTCTCTTTCTCTCTCTGAGTAGCCGCTACGTGAAACTCGACGTGGCACCTTTGTATCGGACAACATATCATCAGTCTGATACAAACGTATTCTATGTCGTTCTTCGTTTTGTCTTTTCTTGTCTTTGATCTTGTAATACATGTTTCATATATCCTCGTGTGTATATATATATATATATGTCCTTTCTTTCGTGATTGGTGCTTTCGTAGTATCCCGACGGGCGCAGCTCGTGAGATTCTCAACTTCTCTTCTTTTTGTATCTCGTTATTTTCATTTTCTTTTTCTTAATAATTCTGGAAGACTAGCGCTTCTTCCCCTTCCTCGATGCGCGTTCTTCTCCAAAGTATTTCCTTAAACCGGTATGAGGGCTCTCGAAATATCTGAATCGAAAGCACTGTGCGTGTGTGTCGATCAGTTTCATTTTTCGTCTATGCACCCCGTTGTTATTGGAACAAATTCTTTAAAAATTTCTTGTCTTATATATTCAGAGAGACTTTGAAAGCGGGTGCAAAGTTCGAGGAATTGTTTCGAATTCCTTTCTTAATAGGGAATCGTTTAACACGTGGCACATAAGTTGACGACAAAACTGTTCCTCTTCTAGTCGCGGGAAATGACAATCTGTTGAGGAACTGAAGCATAATGATGACCGGGAACTCTTTACAGGCGTCGTGGACCATTTTAAACCGCTGATACTTGTGCGTCTTCGTCGTCTGAAAAATTGTAACGTTTCCTTTAATGATCATTTCTTTTGCTCTTTTAGAGTCATAAAATAATATTTCGATGGAGTATGCTCGGGTGACTTGTCTACGTTGGCTGAATTTTTCAATTTTGACACTGATATCTATATATTTTCAGAATTTTTAATCGACGTTAGAGTTTATAATTTGTTACGGTGTTCCTGTTAGGATGTAATTTAATACTATGTCAAAGTATAATGTAATAATGATAATTGTAAAAAAGAAAACAAATTTTTATGCTAGTTACTTGAAACTCGTACTATACTTTTTTTCTGAAACTGTAATTTCTGAATTTTCATTTATTAAATTTCTAAAAAAATGTACTACGAATACTATGAATTGAAGCAATGTAAAGTGATCTAACTAATTGCCTATACACAGAATAATCTATATTAATTTACTAACTTAGAAATTCAAATACACTTTGTTACATTACTACAAATTCTTTCATCTACTTTTCTAGCTGTATTATTCTATAATTCTCTTACCAACAACTAGTCGACAGCTAAAGAATGCATAAAATAAAACCTACTAATGCATAGCAACAGATTTCAGTACAGAAACTACAGTTTCGAAAAAAAATTAGCACAGCGCGATTCAACAAGAGAAGGAACTTAAATAGAAAATAAATCAAATAAGAAGATAAAATAAGAGATTCTAATATACATTCCATGAATGAACTAAAGAGTAAAGTCATATTCGCCAAAGTAGCAAGTCTCTTGGTGGAAAAAGAGAAACAAAGAATACATCTATTGAATTATCATCGAATTCCTTTAAAGAAACCAGCTATAAAATTGCGACTCTGTAAAATGTAACAAATTCTATGTATCGAAAGAAATCAAATCGGTCGAAACAAAAGGGATCGTGGAGTGACGTGACGTGACGTGACGTGCAAATAAGAACAAAAAAGAAAGAAGAAAATTGGACGCAAGCATGCTGTCATGCCTCGACACGGAGGGTGGAATACGAAACTATACAATATGCAGAGATGAAACATAAAGTATCGCAATCGAAAATCGTACCATCTGCTTGTAACAGGCTTCCAAAAAAAAGAAAAAAAGAAAAACAGCAAGTGCATGAAAAATACATCGATACAATTACAATTTGCTATAATATGCAACGAATTTTTTGCTGATCGAAATGCAGATTTCTATTACGCATAAACACAGTGCGTACGCGTTGAATAATTCTAAGGTCAAAATAAATTTCAGTAAAAAAGAAAGAAAAAAAAATCAAAATACTGAAAGGAAAATATAAAACACAAAGTTATAAGTTATGCACACAGAAAACACGTGGTTACACAGGCACTTTGCATTAAAAATGTACAAGTGAAACATATGCGGATATGTGTTCGTTATTTACAAGTTCAGATGCGATCGTCGATGAGAAGATAAATTAGATAAATAATTAACATGTACATCGAATAACAAACAATAACGATTGAAAATCGTCCGTAGACTTCTGTGTATGTGTGTGCGTGTGTTTATACATACATTGTAAATACTTAATCGATAGAAATAACTTAAAGGTAGATAGAGAACGGTGTGTAAGTACTTAGTGTTCATTGTATAACTCATCCATTGGAAAAAAAGAAGATTCCATGACTGTTCGATAATGTTATACGGTATTTTGCAGGAACTAGAGCTTTCTGTGCTACTATTCGAGTGTTTCAGAGTTGGAAGAAGTAATCGTTATTGAATTCATCGTGATATTCTACGTCACGTAGATTCGTTGATCATTACGGTGAAAAATGTTACTGAACAAAGTGTGGCAGTCGCAAACAATTTGAACGATTACAGTTTATTTGAGTTTGAGTGCATTTGATAGTTTTCAGACATGATAACAGTCTATAATTTTTACTGACATTTAGGATATTATGTACCTTATTTGGATTTAGAAATTTAAAAGTTAATAATTTCTGAAGAAATTTTATTATTAATAAATGCTATATTATTAATAATAATGAATTAAGAAACTCGAATTCAATGAAAGACAAATAATTACGCGATAAAAGACTGATATAAATGTACCATGTCTGAAAAGATAAAACAAAAATGCAGCAAAAAATGTTAAAAATATTACGCGGCAAATAAGCGAAATGCGAACAAAATTAAAGACTGTAATTAACATTTTTTTCCGTGCATTATCGATAGTCAATAGTGGGACTGATCAATATTCCTTGATAATCTTGTTCGATTCTTTCGCTTCTTTTACATCTTAAATCTAAAGAAAACTTTAAAGCTATTATTTCACATCTCTTTATATCTTAATATCCTTTGAAGGACGTAATATATTTAAAAAAAATACATTTATCCCTTTTTATATCTTTACACTCTAAGAGCCATTTTATAAAGGAATCCTGATCTCTATACACGAAAGTTCTTTATGTACAAGTATTTACAAAAATTCTCATTCTTCTAAAAAAAAAATTAATTACTATTCCGCTCACTCTACCCTATTATTCATTACGTAAGCACAACCTTATTCGTTCCTCTGAATCCTATTTTAATCTTAACAAGGAAGTTACGCATACCTCTGCTGTAACAGCAGTTTATTATTTCATATCACATCCCAATAATTTCATATCAATGTTCGAAAATCACTCTATCTAAAGCCAACACTATCTAACATCATTTATAAAACTATTTTCATAATCTAATAGACTAACGACTAATTGTGATCGCTATAATTTATTCCATATCAATCCCATCGCTATGATATCGATAGTGTTAAGGAGAACAAGCCTCGAGGACGGAAAAGTATATCAATTCGTAAAAAGTATAGACATATATGATAATACGTCTAGAGAAAAAACTGTGGTAGGTAGAGTAGATTGTATTTTAGGTATAGCGATTGTGTTTGCTTTTGTACCATCTTCATGGTCGTTCCTGTAGGTAACACCCTCGTGGCTGTGAGCACGGCCAAGTCTGTGCAACCTTGCCATCTGCGCTGCAACTTTGTAAGCAGGCGGTTGACGGCACTGTGTACTACCAATTCCTGGACGTATCGTCGTCATCGACGTCATGGTAGTCATGGTCGTCATGGTCGTCATAATCGTCGTTCCAACTCCTGGAGGGGGAAGCGCCGCCGGTACTCCAAGACCCACGCCTACTCCTAATCCCGTAGTACCTGAAAACCCTCGACTCTCTTTCTCTCGATCTCTCACATCCCTGCATCTCCTTCTGCTGTTCAACAACCGCTCTCTCCCCTTATCCTTTTTACCGCCATGTAATCCATCGCCATTTGCAATTCTGAACGAACACGACTCGTACGAAGACTCGAAAAATATGAAAAGTGGTAGGTACTTTTTATGGACATCGCAAATAGTCAAACTGCGGATTTTTATGCATTTATGGGAAACATGAGAATACAAAAATTCACAGAATGCGTGTAATGCGTTAAAATACATGAAATATACAAGGTGAAGTACTCGTTATAATATAGGATGAAAAAATTTCTGCAATTGTATAGGATTCAATAATTGACAGTAATTAAAGCCTGTGAAAAATTTCTTACTGTACATACAAATATAATTCTTATTTATTTTTAATAAAATATAATTTTTTAAACATACTATGTCATTAAAATATTAGAAGAATAATGAAATGTAGAATATACAATTTTTTAAATACAACGATTCATTAAGATATTCAAAAAATGTAGATTCTTTCTCTCCTTATTGCGTCCTCGTCTTAAATTCGTCCCCCTTTTTATGTATGTATTGCATACATTGTAACAAATATAAAAACAAGACGAATTCATATTCTTTGATTAAAAAAAAAAAAAAAAAATAAAACAGACTCACAGAATGCGTGTAATGCGTTAAAATACATGAAATATACAAGGTGAAGTACTCGTTATAATATAGGATGAAAAAATTTCTGCAATTGTATAGGATTCAATAATTGACAGTAATTAAAGCCTGTGAAAAATTTCTTACTGTACATACAAATATAATTCTTATTTATTTTTAATAAAATATAATTTTTTAAACATACTATGTCATTAAAATATTAGAAGAATAATGAAATGTAGAATATACAATTTTTTAAATACAACGATTCATTAAGATATTCAAAAAATGTAGATTCTTTCTCTCCTTATTGCGTCCTCGTCTTAAATTCGTCCCCCTTTTTATGTATGTATTGCATACATTGTAACAAATATAAAAACAAGACGAATTCATATTCTTTGATTAAAAAAAAAAAAAAAAACATAAAACAGACTCGTCGTGCTCGTTCAGAACGGAGCTCGAAAGAGACGAGCTATATACATATACGAGGAAACTGTACAACACGCTCGTTATTCACCGCTAGATCAGAACCCAAGAAAAGGAAAGCACAGAAAACCAGTTAATATATACCCTGAAAAGAAGCCTCGGTTCTCCGTTAATCCTGAGGAAACGCGACAACACAATAAAAACAGTCACACACTGTCGATGTAACGCATACCATTTTCTATACGCACGCACAACCTGCATACACATGTGTACAGCAGGCAACGATACTCACGTGATTATTAGCGTGCACACGCCAACCCTTCGAGCAAGCGATTAATACAGATTAAGCCGATGCATCGCTGTATACGTTATCACTGAATGCCTCGAGCCTAACGCGTTGCTTCCGGTTGGTACAGAATTCCCATTTACCAATGTCTACTCATCTTTTTTTCTATGTTCGAACGATTAGTCGAGTTTCATATTTTATTCATCATTCTACAGATATCCATTCACCAGAGATATATTAATTAATACTATCTTACTACGTCATGCATAACACTACGGATGATCCGGAAGCAACGCAATCATAGATAGAGTCGAACAAAGAGTACTATGAAAACAGAGAGAGAAGATTCAGCCCAGTTGCAAGTTGCAAGGAGAGAAACTCAAGACAGGCAAGACGACAATCGCGGACTCACCTTGAGGATTTTGGGGTTGGTGATGGTGATGATCGTAATAATGTTGGTGGTGATGATGGTGGTGGTGGTGGTGATGATGATTGTGGTTGTGATTCTGATTGTGGTTGGCAGGAAGCGGAGGTAACACTGCTACCGCGTGAGGGAACGGAGGTGCACCACCTCTCAAAACAGACCCTGCACCACACACAGGTCACATACGAAATGTTTCTTTACAAAATGTACAATGACACACCGGTTTAACATCTGGTGGTACTTTTTCCCCCTCTCTTTTTCATTTTTGCTTTGTGTATCTTTTTCTCTTGATGTAAATAAATGAGACGAGCGATAAAAATCGCAAAGATCTTTTTTAATTAAGAAAAAGTAAACAATATTTATTCGAAGGAATGAATAAAATATAAGCTTGTTGACGTCCCTCTCATTGAACATGAAGGAAGATTCCTAGAGTGCCGCGAGTGGAAAGATCGCAAAAATTGGGTCGATGTGTCGTTATATAAATATCAACGTATGCGTGTATGCGTGAATAATGCCCCTGCGTAAAGAAGCGAGTCTCTGTGAAAAAGCTTCAAGCGATAAATGTACTGAAAGCAATTGGAACTCCCGGGATAAAAGCGGCTATAAAGCACGTTTACCTACGTTATCGGCGCAACGCTCGGCTAAACGATAAATAAATAAAGTACCGGATAGGTACGGTAAAAAGAGTGTATGTACGTAATATACACATAATGTAACGTATATATGCTGTAGCTTAAATTGCACGGAGATTTTTTTCTTAACTACCATAGACGAGAGAGAATGAAGATGAGTGGCCATGGGACATACGTTTTCTTTTCAACGTTAGAATCTAATCGTGACCCGGACAGTGAAACGAATGATTCGGAGGAGTAAACGGACTACGACTGTGTGAAACGGCAAACTGTAATGAGAAAACATTTCGATTACTTTTAGTATCAAACGAGAACAAAAAAAAGAGAGGAAAAAAATAAAAAATGAGAAATAGATGTGATAATTACACGAAGGATACTCGTATAGTCATCAAGAGACGTACAACAGGTATCACACGTTTTCAAAAAACGAATCATTCTCTGTTTACTAACTACCAAAAATATCTAACGATACGTCACACACTACTAGAAAAAAAGAACAAATATCTTTTCTGTACGATCACTTTTGCGATTACAACAGAAAAATATGAAAAACAGAGACTCATAGACTCAACACCCAACCGTATCACGAAACGAACTTTCACGCAGTTACTGTGTCAATCAACGACATACACGATATACACGGGCCGTCCATAACACGACGACGTTTTAAATAAAAAATAAGAACTAAAATAACTAAAAAAAGAAAAAGAAAAATGGGAAAGGCAACTTCATCTCGTTGGACCACTCCAGATTCTTTCTTTGGTTCTACCTTCTAAACTACGGTCTACGGAACGGGCAAAAAAAGGGAACAAGAGAGGTAATGAGCACGAGCTTGTGGAGTTATTTGATCTCTTTTGGTTCAAGTTTACGTACCTTGCATGGCGGAGTGCCGTCTTTGAGGTGGCGGTGGACTACCACCAGCTTCTACGCTGCTTCCGCTGTGGCTGTCCAGCTGTGTACTGTGACCACTGTCACTGCTCGTCACCGAACCTACGCACACGTCCCCAAGACACTTCTATCACTACACATTCTATAGCCCATTTCTCGCCCCGATGCGCCCGCTAACTGCTAATTATCTAACAAATATTAATCGCGTTTCATTGAACGCGTGTAATCTGTATATCACTCGTTCGCTCTTTCTTTCTCTTTCTCTCTTGCTTTCTCACTTGAAAAAATCAGAGCCAACAAACGTCAGTTTGACGCCTACAAAAATGTCGACTTGACCGCGATTAAAAATTGCGCTGGCACAGCATTTGTTTTTCGATGCACGCCTACCAGAGATCGTCCTTCTGTAAGCGACTACTAGCTACTTCTAACAAAATTAAGATTCATATTATTATCTTTACCGAAAGAAAAAAAATGAAAATTGGAAAAATATTAGATCCTGGAAAATGATATTTATCAGAAGGAGATTATTTCCAGGAGCAATATTTATATTTCCTACAATACAATTGTCAGTCAGTTTTTAAACTGAAGAAAGTATTAAGAGTAAAATATTTGAAACTACTGTCTATTTAAGTTTGTTCATAAAAAGTGATTTAAAAAGACAGACTATAGCATTGAGATTAAATCGTTGAAGGATGTGATTCACGCGTCCGTATGTCCCATGGTGAGTGATCTAAATTGAAGCTAGATGTGCTTCGTCCTGGGATCAGGACCGTGGTGTGTATAACACGGGACGATAATATTGATCGAAAAGAAGCGCGAGCTACGGTAATCGGCGTACAAGATGCGTGTAAAATGGATAAGCTAAATATAAACATGGAACATTTATGAATTGCGTAAACGGCTGTGCAGCGTGCATATAAAATGAGATAGTTTCTTAGAATTTGCGAGACCTGACCAGTGTGTACGGTCACGAGCAATGAAAAGGTGCATTGAATGGTACTTCGCGAGATGTGTCTGCTGTATTTGTGTGTCGCAATGAAACAATGTTCAAAATAAAAAGAAAAAGAAGCACCGTATGATTCATCGTCTAAAGCTAGCAATATGTATAGAGACACAGAAAAAACTTTACACTGTTGAAGTTGTTTTGTATGTGTGTATACAATGTATGTTAAACGATGATCGACAGCATCTCGCTTCGAACCATTTTATGTGTCGAAATTAATCAACTTACCACTGGTCAACGTTTTTCTTAACGGCTGAAGATTGCTCAAGCTGGTTACGCTACTACTTTCAGCACTGAGATCGACAGGTGGTGGTAAACTGGAAGGAGTATCGCTATGGGATCTCTCATGCATAGGAACTCGGCTACCAGATCCTACTCTCCTAGGTGCACCGGGACTAGGCTCCAATCCGCTGGAATGCAATGCCAATCCAGGCACTGGAAGTGCTGGTGGGCAATGTTTCGGTTGATACGGACGAGTTTTGTGGGGATCAGAAAGTGCTAACATTTTCCGTACTGCTTGTGGCGATGCAGCTCCAAACTTTGTACCTGAAAATACACAATAGTTAATATTTTATAATAATTAATATTACATAATAATTAATTCAAACGAAAGATAAAAATATCCTACCTTGTATACTCTTTCTACCTTCACTGGTGCTGCTAGCACTACTTGTAGTCGACAAAGTAGGCGAAGGATGCCTTCTTCCTCTGCTTGCACTGAGAGGTACCGCTGCGGCTACTGCGGCAGTTCCTGCATGAGGTTCGCATTCCACAGACAAAGCATGTAATCGTTCCTCGTCAGTTATTACTTTCATGTTGGCAAGGTACGCTTTCACTCTTCGAACCATTTGAGCCTCTTCGAACATTTTCTTCGGATTTGGTGCAGCGGTAGACTTTTTCCGCCTTTTTACTGTTGCCGTTTGTCCTCCTGGACATTGCAACACTGTTAGTAAAAACGAATCATCACATTGCTGGTTCTGTTTCTACATACTATAGTTAGATTACCTTGATTTCCAGTAGTCATTTGATTTAACGCAACCATGGCAGAACTAGGTGGCTGGCCACCTCTTTCTAACATTATTGATAGATCGTAGGGTGAAGAACACATGTTCGTTAACGTTCTCACTTCTTTCGCTATCATCCTCAGTTTTTCGAAATTTACCAAACCTTCCACTCTGGAATCGTTGCCAAGGTGTATGAACGTTAAATCCTTCTTTACTACTGGATAAAATGGAATCTGAAAAGAAATAGAAACATTTCATGTTATACCACTGCATAATAAAAAGAACAAAGTATGTAACTAATAGTTAGAAGTAACATGAGAACTTACTATAGGAGGTTGCGTTTGTTCAGATGCTACTAATTGTCGGTATTTGCTCATGTTACGGCTCGGGTCCATTAATTCTTGTAGGTCACTAAATAGCCTTTGATATTTACTTGGCAGTTTCTCCCAAGAAGCTCTTAATCTTGAGACAGCCCCATGACCCAAGCCAGACACAATCGCAAACATGGAATTGAAATTTTTGCATTCTTTACATTGTCCTGTTTAGCAAACAAAAAGATATTAGGATACTCGTGTAACAAAAAATTACAATGGATGAGGATAAAAACTCACGGGCTATTTTTATAAATTGTTTTATTATTTTACTACGTCGAACAAGATTGTGTTCAGAACAAACTTCTGTCACAACCCAAAACATTTCTCTGTTGACTAGTTCTGCAAACTGCCTGAGCATTGGCACTCCATATCTACTCTTCAATTCGAATAAATCATCCACGTATTCCGTAGATTCTATTTGTCTAATAATAGCACACAAGTCAATATTTCCATTTCGCAAAAAATAACTTGCAAAGAAACTGAAAGTATTATCAATTTACCTGAATATACTGAAATCTTGTAAAGTCAATTGAATTGCAACTTCAACGGCATTTAATTGTAAGAAGTGAACCTGAGATTCGCGTATAAGTTCTGGCGCTTGTTCATCTGCTACGAACGTCTCCGAGATACCGTTAGTTTTTAAATAATACCTTGAACTTAAGCCAATTCTTTCTGCAAGATTTTGCAACTGATCAGGTAACCTGCGTTGTTTAATCATTCCTCCTTCTCCAACGCTAACTTCAGCCAAGGAGAAATTCGAACTGCCTTCGGCAGCGGTTATACCAAATTCTTGGAGAGCTAGCATTACCACCTAAAATAATATATTAGCATACAAATAGAAACTTTTAATCATGCATATTGTTTCCGAAGATTTAAATATCTACCTCGTGCGCCGTTGTTTCCTTGTGAATAAGAAGATATTTACAAGTTTGATCGGCTTTGTAAACCTTCAAAACGTGTTCTGGATAATCAGGCGCCCTTAAGTCGTCATAACAATATAACGACGTAAGGTCAGGATTACTTTTCGAATGATAAAGGTTAGTAGTCTGTGAAAGTCCTGTTCCCGGTGGTGTATGAGGGGGTGCGAGAGGATCGTCTACATGTACACCATCACTGTAAAATGAATCACTCCTATGTAAAATATATTTTCTTGAATTAGAAAAAGGGAAAAAAATGAAAAAAAGGAAAATGACAGATATATTTTTAACTTACTTAATAGTATTCTTTGGCAGTATATTCATTTTTATAAGAGCTTTTTGAAATCTCTTTTTCGGTCCAAGCGTCATGAATCCTTTATGCTCTTTTTTAGCATCTTTACAAGGAGAAACGTTAGAATCAGGTATTAACAGTGGAACACCGCCTACTAAAGGATTCAGTGGATTTCCTGGAGTTATCGGATCCACATGCGTGGACAACCTTGCACGTGGATCTGTTTGTATTCTTGAAATTTCAGGTTTGTTTGCTCTTCCCCGCGGCCTCGGCGAGTCATCTGGCATCTGAAGCATTTCTTTAAACGCTACAACAGTAATTCATTGCTCGCATAAAGGAAATATAATCCACAAATTATTGTTTCTACAAAATGTAACATACCAAGTAAGTTTGATTTAACAGTTATACTAAGATGAGTAGATCCCCTTAAGATTTCAAGAGCCCTGGCGTGACTCACGTGCTCAAAACTCTGTCCATTTACTTCTAAAATCTGATCACCACGTTTCAAGCCAACATCTTCAGCCTTTGACTTTTTATCCACTTTTGAAATAAAAATGCCGAAACCTCTTTCATATCCGCCCAAAATACTAAAATGCAAAACCTCGTCCCTTGTAGGCCTTGCTAATGTTACATTCCGCGTTCTTGCTTTTGCTGCACACGCAATGTTTAATAATCTGAAATTCATTGAAGGATTTTTAAATACTCTAAGTGCTTAATAATTATTATAACGAATATAAATTTAACAAAATTGATGTATACCTTTGTTGTCCTAGCATTTTTTCTCTTTCCAAACCGGCTTCAAATGCTTCCAAAAATTCCATCATGGCGGGATCAGTTTCAAAATCAGTAAAATGATTATTTACCCAAAGAAGTACCACACGGGCAACTCTATCTCTGACTTGTGCTTGATCAAACCATTCTAACAATTGACTCGCAACTAATAAAGGACTATCGATAAATGTTCGATGCGTTAATAAGAAATCTTCTATATAAGTGGGATCGGTAATACTGTTTTCTTCGATAAGTTGTAACATTAAACGTTCAGGAGTTCCGCGGATAACTACATGACCTCTGCGTGCTCCGCCATCTAAAGCACCCCTTAATTCTGTTACTAGAATTACTCTCCCATTCTCTTCATGCCGCCTCGTATTTTCTTCTCCTTGATGTTGAATTCTAAAATAATCTGCCTGAGTAACACATACAAATTGGCAATCATCACATCTGAAAAAGAAATAGACATGTTAATGGAATTTTCATTTGATAACTACTGGCGACAGAAAATTTCTAACATAGAACTCACTTTGTCCTCATTACACCTCTATGCAAAAGTCTTTCCATAGTGGGCAAAATTCCAAAACTGTCACCAAGGTGCAGCTGTTCGATTTCTCCATTGCTATGCTCAATTTCCACAGCACCATTTATGAGCACACTCCAACTATCTAATTCTTCTCCATCATTCAAAACTATCATACCAGCACGTTCAACCACTGCAAACACCATCACAGCGCACAGCGCTCTTCTTACTGCCAAGGTCATATTCGTGAAAGCCTTTAGTTGTTGTGTGAATTCTAAGAGCGTTTCTATATCATCTTCTGTCCTTTCCATAGGATCTTTTTCTAAACATTCTCTGACTGGATCACGAACAGTCAAGCTCTGTAAACGCAAGTAAAAATAATTCTTGTTAGTCTACTCTTTAATTTTATAATTTAAGCAACCATTTAAGAAAAAGTATACTTACATCCATGCTTTCTGCAAGATCTTCCTCTTCATCGCTGTCTACTATAGATTCAACAAGACCTGAAAGATCAACATCGTCTGCATCTGCATCTAATGAACCTTGTACAGATGTCATGGTGTCTGAACCACTGTATGCTGAGCTTGTGTCACTCGAATGGCTGCTTCTATTGGACTTTTGATACAGCTCTGGCCTGCCCGTCAGGCCTTGAGAAAACTGTACAAAAAAGCAAAATTATCGAATTAATTATACACTTGTTCACTTTACCATTACTACACTTTATTCTTACATTTTATTGCACAGTTTTTATTAGGAATTGTTCTAAAGATCACTTAATATTAAATGTTTATGCTTGATAAACTTATATACTAAATATTTATAGCTGCATCGATTTACTGTTAAACATGACGTACACCGTAATACTTTCGCATTAATTAAAGACGATCAACATATTCGCTTTGTTATTGCTACACTCTCAAATATGCAAACTAAAGTGTTTACATTAACGTAGCGTCCCGGACGATGTTAATACAAAGCAACGCATTCTTCGTCGCAATGTACCGATGTAATCACGATTGTAAACAATAGCACGGTGCAAGTTCAAGAGAAGATTAGCATCGTTCGAATTCCCTTACAACAAAAAAAGAACCTACGAATAAAATAACCTGCAATCTATCATCCATGGATCGACATCGATCTGTCAATTGGCAGGAAGAGGCTGCAAAGAACGGGATCAAGAAGCATGTAGGACAAAAACATGGGTACTACGAGCGGTACTCGTTTACGGAATAGTACTAGGAATGGGCGTGATGGGGACAGGGACAGGCTCTGCTCTTAAGTTAGGTTAGGTTACCAGACATGACATCACGCACGCAACATCGAGCAACCAGAGAAAACACGCACGGTGAAGAAAGAGACAGAAATAACAAGTATGTATGTCTAAACAAAAACATCGTGACATCTGTCATCCGGCGATAATCAACAACGATCATCCATGATCGACCATGGTGTGCACTCGTTTCAAGGAAATCCGAAGAATGAGAAAAGTAAACGTGTAAACCAAAGGCCATTTTGAGCCCGCGGGAGATCGTCAGACTCACTTGGTACATGCCGAAGGCGTCCATCCTTATCGTCTTAACTAATGGCACTTGCTCGGCACTATGCTCTTCCGTGTTTTAGATCACGAGAAACAACGCGAAGAAGAACGAGCAGTGCCCGGCCACATTCTCTTTTTGCTCGTTGTCCACGATGCGATCGAACTCACGAAACTCACACCTCTCATTCGCGATGGCATATGCGACCGTATATACACACAGATCGACGTGACCTTCTTTGTGTGCATTTACGAAGCTCGTGGCGCGTCTGGTGTGCCCCGTGTCGTGGGCCGTCAACTTAGCGAAGTAGCGGACATGGGACTGCCTTTCGTCCCTCCCCCACCCTTCATCCTGCCGCCGGCATTCCCTTCGAAAGTGTAGGGTCACGTGACCCGACCGAGCAGCGAGCCTCAGGTCCGTCTCAATAGGGGGGCGCACGTTGGGGGGCCCACCTGTAGCTTCTGACCGTGACACTAACAAAACACTCCTATCAATGAAACGTCGTAATGTCCGACTAAATTTTTCAATTCATTCTAGCTGCACCTCGTTATTAGTCGACTATTGACACTATAAACGTATATATTGTTCCATACTTCGTTTTATACTCTTTAAGATTTCTTTGTTTATTTTATTATATTAGTAATCAGAATACAATTCTATAACCTAATTTGTTGGCTTGAATAACATCACTTACGGCGTGATGAAGACTTGAGATTGTTTTGAAACATTGAATTAGTCCATGAATCAGTTAAAACTTTATCTGTAATCAGATGGAACTTTACACATAAAATAATTCTTTGTATGTGAATAAATGCACATCTATAGCGACATCCAGTCATCGATCACATTGTACCAAATAATCATTCACCATAAACAAATCAGCCATCGCGAAGCACCTTGCATAAAATTGTTCGAGAAAATTTCTTCCAAACATCGAATTTTGGTTATATTTTAGGTATATGTTGATTTGGAAAATTTCGTCTGTGATCAGATGAACCTCACACTGAGACGAGACGAGAGACTCAAAAGCCGAGTGAAACGAGCTTAAGGAGTCGACGGTCGGTCAATCGTCAGTCGGTAAGCAATTGAGAGAGAAGGAGGATGCTGGGAGAAAAGAGTACCGGTCTGTTCAAAGCATCCAACACAGCGGATAGTAACTGCTTAAAGGCCACTGGCCGACCCGACGGATGATTTATACGACCCGTTATGTCGTGCCCATGTCTCACTTTTCCTTTTGTCCTGCTCCACAGACTTTCCAAATTGCTTCTCCCATTCAGTTTCTTCCTACTCAAGCAGACACTGGCATACCAGTGCACGCCACCGATGTGCATTGTGCATTCCACAGACTCTTTAGGGGAAAGACACTTTAATGTAGATCATCTTACACGCACGCGTTGCGCCTTAACGAACTTTCGATCCGAAGCGCCGCGTGCCGGTAAAATTCTAGCGAAGGAAAGCGGAACTTCCTTCGGTCTTGTTTAAGCGAAATTTAAATAGTTGTACTTCGAATAAAATTTCGAATATTATTTCAATTAAAATCTTAGGAAAAGTGGAACTTCGTTCGATCTTCTCTATATCAAAATTTAAATACTTCTCTTTCGAATAAAATTTCGAACGCTGTTGCAATTAAAATTCCACTTTCGTGACTACTTTTCAAATCAACATATACATAAAATACAATATTTTATTTAAAATTGAAGACCTACATTTGAATGAAGTTATGGTAGAAATTTGTATTCCAAAATAATGTAAATTACTTTCTGTAGAATGAAATGGAAATATGTTGACTCTGTGGTGAGGTTGTGAAGTAATAAAAAATAAAAATCGGAATCTATAAGCTAGAATTATAAGGCTCACCCTATTTGGAGCTTATTAAGACAGTTAAGCATCATGTGTTCCTTGAGAGTGAAATTATGACAATGTTTATACCGTCTGGGTTACTTAAGAACCCCACAGTAGTAGTTAAGGGATAATCTTAGTTATATTAACTTTGTCGTATAAAGTATCAAAAGTACTCTGTACATATACTGTCAAATACATGATTCAAAATACTATAAAATACATCTACTATTAATCCTTTTTATATTTCGAAAATGTAAAATTAAAATAAATTGTTTAACAGTATTTCGGAAATCATACGTAATTACTAACTAAATTTTAACAATTTCCAAAGGAATAACAGAATATGTAAAAAATATAAAAAGGAAAAGAAATATTCCAAATGCGTCAAAATTAAAGAAATCCTGCATGATAGCAGTTTTAAAACCGATAACAGGCATATAAAAAACGAATATTCATCGTGCGATGAAAAAAAAATAAATTTTCTCCAACTACAACACGTCCATAAATCGCATCTTGCGTTACGTTCCACTTTTCAGCACGGGAAAACATTTCTCGCTTTACGATGATCGCTGTTTACTTCTCGGAACCTAGTGAATTTTCCGTATATACGTTTCTATGGAGATAAGAAAATTCACGAACTGATAAAACTTCTCTTCAAGAGGGAGGAGGCGGGCATTTGAAATGCATGAGAAAGCGTAGAATAATACAATGAAGAAGGAAAAAAGATTATTTTAAAAGTTTTACCACTAGCCGCCTTTAACGATCTCCACTTTTTTTATTTTTCCATCATCTTCCTCTCTTATGTTTTCGATTATCGAGAACGCGTGGGCGCATCGACACGTCACGGATCGACGACATCAAACTTTCTTTCAACCATCTGCACGTCGATGACGTAAGACAAATGATCATGAACCGTTGCAAGGAAAATGATCAGCAAAAGTGCATCAGGTACCGATTTACCGATAGATACCAGCCATGAGTCTCTGTCAAGCTGCATCAGATACGAATATACCACGCTATCGATTGCGCTAAAGTGAAACAAGGCGTAACTAAGCCTACCTTTGCAATTGAACGTCACGCAGAAAAAACATGATAGGTACATTTTTGTTGATTTTTTTTATTTTAACTTGTATTTATTGTTAGATCCATTTTACACGACGAACGAATTACTCAGTTTGTCAAATATTAAAAGACCAATTTACTTTTGTACTTTCTACCTAAATCTTTAGTACCTTGTGAAAAATTCCTCTTGTTTTTAATAAATATATACTTCTTTCGTGATGAGTTTGACAGGACAACGTGATCTTGAAAGTTCCACTATGTAATAAATTTTTCCTACTATCCATTTAAAAGACATTCATCCGCTGGTGCAGTCGAAATTAGTCATGGACTGTCATTTCGAAATAACTGATGGATCTACCCAACGCCGAGTCTGGCCTATTTTGAACTAATATATTTATGATAACATCGTTCGATCGTGAATGCCTTTTTAAAATTTGCCTGAACGTACTCTTGCAATTTCTATCTGAGAAGAGGGCAAAAAGAATTTGAAAACGGATGTTTACCGTATCATCGAAGACCAAGTTGACCTGTCGATGATCGGTTATGGGATGAGGGTGCGGTGGTCGATGCATCCTTCCTCCATGCACTTCTGGATAGTCGATCTGCCAACAAAAAAAAGGATAAAAATAATTAGAAAAATAATTGCAACTGAGGATGATTTTTATCAATTTTAATGCCATTTTATAAATAAACGTGAGTATTTTAATATAAAATAGAGCTAAAGGTATAACTGTCAAAATAATGCATATTTTAATATATTCAATATTTTACTAGTTGTTCGGAATTTTAGTTGGCCGTTCGTTTATGGCACAGACAGGCCCATTTCCCTCATTAGGAAATTCCGAATTCCGGTCCTCCCAGGGCAGTAAACGTAATGACTCGAGGCCAGGAAAAACCTAGGTAAGGACCAGCCGGAAGGGTACTGGGAAACGGAGTTCAGCTTCAACCATCGAAGACTACAGACACAGGACGACGAAGTCCCAACTTAATTCGGTTAAGTGCTACAACTAATACAAATAAAGTGCCGTCAAAATCTAACACTCGAGTTATTCCATCTCCTCCACCTTGAACGTTAAGTCATTCGAGGTACGCGATATCGAACGATCAGTTTGACCTGATCGGTTGCTCTTTAGTCGATAATACGCAACACTAGTATTTCAAATGATGTCTTTAAAATCATGAAGAACGTCTGCAATTAGTTTCCTCATTCTTTCTTCTAATTTCCATGATAACATATTTGCATTTTTACAACGCAACCTGCATACCATTTTCTAGTTCGCGTTAACCTTTCACCTTTCGCAAACCTGCAGAGGGCACACTTTCCGAAGCTTAAAAATATAGGAATTGTTTGACGTGAGAGCTATCTCCTTTGGGGATACATATCAGGATGAGTCTCGTAGATTTATTCAGCAAGTTTGCCGGCGTTTGAGAGGAATAGTAAAATATATGCGTCCTATTTTTATAGAAGATTTTTAATTGTCTAATTGTAGCAACGCTTTTGAATGAATATATTTTAGAGGTATTTCCTCCTTATATTATTTCCTATACAACCAATTGTATTATATATATTTTATATACGTATTATAACAATATAATCAATAATAGTGCAAGTAACGGTTTAATCTATTTATCTTAAGAGTATCTCAACACGAATAAAAAACTAATAGATTTCTCCCTTTTTTAATTATATAAAAGCTAAGCCCAATCTTTTTAACCACTAAATAACATGAAACTCGGAAAATCAATAAAATCGTACTTATCACATTTTTCCTTGTAATTCTTATACGTACACACATATATCTTAAAAAATGCAGAAATATTTTAACGAAATGTTTTACCCTCGTATCTCACGCCATGTATTTAACAATGCATAAGTTTACACCGAAAACAAGGGATTTAATTTCCATTAAAAAGTTTCTTCATCTAATCCCTCCCTCTACAGTCAACATTCATCAAACTACCATTTTCGCTCTAAATTCGATCGGTAGAACGCAAGCTCGAGAGCAACGTCAACGTAGGAACGTGTTTCGAATTTCTGGAATGACAAACAGCTCCTCCGCGAAAGCAGCCGTGTCGTCCCCAGGAATGGCGTTGATAATCTAATCCGGTTCCACCTGCGACTTCTGCAGCTGCGTCAACTTCTCTCGCCCCCTCGAGTTACATGGAGGCTCGTGCCCCTCTTTTTCGGTCAACAGCGTTCGTTGTTCAACCACTATACGCACGATGAAATAAAAAAAGGAGAAAAAACAGAAGAGAAAAGGAAAATGAGAAGAGGAGAGGAGAAAAAAGGGGAAAAAAAGAACACCGAGAGACAACGAGATGAGCGTGTGGCTCGGGGCCGGAACCCGTAGGCCGGACTTCCGGTAGATACGCCGATTATACTCGCCATTCACAGAACCGCTCCCTCGCGACTCGATTGTTAGAGGCAAACAGCATTTAGCCAATTTCGGGATGAAAGTTGAATTTCCACCGGTCGACGATACGTTGATTCGATTGGGAATAGCCGATGCGAAACGCGACATGCATGTCGCGAAAAATATTGTTCGACATGCCGGAAATTAACGAAACGCCTTCCTACAAAGCGTTGCTGGAAAATGCATATCACCGAGATCCATGTGTGTTTACACTGTTATATGTATACGTGTAAAACCAACATGCGTCGCGTAACGTTGGCGCGTAGGTTCCAGTGATTTATAACTTTTAATTGATTTCTACTGACATGTAATAATCGTTGTAGAAATTATTTACGGAAATTTTGGACTGAATGCTTTTGCGTATACACAATGCTGTGTAGAAATTTTAGACCAGCTACGATAATAATTTTATAATGGGAATTAATCACTTTTCAACTAATTATGTATTACCTGCCTTTATGAATACTGTAGTACTCTATTCTACTTACGTACAATTCGTCTGTATAAATGTTGTACTTTAACTTACTTGTATGCTTTTTGCTTATACAAATATTCTAGATATTTATAATGAATCTTGTATACGGATTCAAATGCATAGTAATAGCTTTGATGTTGGACTGGTTGACAATGTGCTAAATTTTAAAATTGCTCTTCTACGAAAAATAAGAAATATGAAGTTGCTATTTACCTATGATCTTTAAACAACATCAAGTTTTATATTCATTCATAAAAATGAAACATTCTTATTTCCTATGTAAACATTTTCTCAGAAAAGTTTTTCTACAAGATTTTATTCCATTTTATTGCTTTCTTGTTTTGGATACGAGTGTAAAAAAAGAAAATAGAATGGCAAGATTAGCTTAAAAGCTTAGTAACTGAATGGTTTAATGAGAATCATATATATACCTAACATACTCGAATAGATACAGTTTAAGATACAGTTCTGTAGGATTCACACATATAGAAAATATTATCTTTCAGTTACTATTATAGATATTCGAACTTACATAAAGAATGCAATATAATAATAATATCAATTATTGAACATACTAATTAAGTTAGATTTGTCAGTATTCCGAAGAGTTGTTATGTTAGAACAAGTCGCTTAAAGATATGTTTGAACTAACACGTAAAATTACCATCAACGCGTCCAATTTGTAGGTAAAACTCGTTTTGCGAGAAATCTAAGCTTCTTTCAACTTAGAAATCTCAACAACATAATGGGGCAAGTACATTAATTATCGATTACTGGAGCTAACCAGTCCCTTATAACCGCTCTTGTCCGTGTCTACTTATTTCATTTGCCTTTTAAAACCACGATTCACCGCTATATCGAAGATGCTACAGGTGAAAGTATGCTATACAGATTATTCCAGCTATAGACCGCAAAAAATTAAAAAGAACAGTCATTTCTTTTTTCTTGCTAAGCAACCATCCAATTCTCCGTTATACCTACAATTATCATCAGCACCGTAATTTCTCTCCACAGAACTGTATAGCAAATATCACGTACGCGTTGAAGAATATTTATAAAGTATTGTTTGCTCGTCGTAATCTCCATATATTTATTTTCAATGTTGACGTTCCTATCTTTTACATCTTTTAGTTTTATGAAAATATTCTCTTAGATACATTTTGCGGCATGTGTTGTCTACTAATCTTAATTAAATTTTTTGCTCCTTTGAAAAGATTATTTCTTTGCTAGTTATAAATATTCAGCATCTGTTCTCACTCTAATCACTAAACTAATGCACGTAGAAGTAAACAAATATTACTTAAAATTCAGGAATAATACCTAATATTGAAACTAATAGAAAGACGAAAATTATCAATATGTGTATGTATGCAAATATAATCAACCATAGAAACATCATAAAATAGGATAACAAATATTCATAAAAAATAAATTTCCTGCCAATCTATTTTTTTACTCTTTCATAATTTCAAATAAAATATTATTTGTCAAAGTAGATCTTTCGTAGATTCTCTTTTCTACTGTCTCGTAACTTTCGATGAAAAACACTAGATATCTAACTAGGTATCAAACGAAATATCATTTTACGACCAACTGTAGATATATAAAAATTACGTTCGATAACTGAGAAATTTATTAATTTACATATTCATGGACATTCATTAGCCAATGCAAGTATTGCACTTTTTGCCACTTCTCGTCGTGGAATTTTTTGCTTGTCACGATATATCTTGTCTTTATCATTAAATTTATAGCATAGCAGTCCGAAACACGTCGCAAACCCGATTTCTCAATGAGCACCGCTCGATCGCATAAACAAACGCGCAAAAGGGAAACGAAGTGGATCACACGCTACGCTCTGTTTGCCCGACGCGAATTATAATGGCGAATCGTGTACCGTTCGCGGACTTTGCGAACGGACAGTCGTGAAACGCGTGACGCAACATTCGATGCAGAAAATGTCCACGAGCGTTCTCTCGTTACGTAATCCACGAATTATAAACAATCGGATAGCGACTCGCTAACGCAGCGTGTTTGTCATTCTTTAACGCTTAAGTCGCGTTACATTGGACATCTTTTGATGAGCCGATCGAACCGATTGACTTCAATATTTTCAATACATTGTTGACGCAAATCGACATTTTCTAAGACGTTACACTGACGAAAGACGTGACTCGATTTTAATCTTATAAACGTAGACATGTTTTCCAAAAATGTGCGGGAACTGAAGTAACATTTATTTCACAGTATACCGTCAACAATATGTTAAGTCGTTCAGAATTGCCCGTGTAATTAAATTTCAATCAAGTGGAAATGACTTTTAGTTTTTTAGTTTCAAGTAACTGAAACTTTGCCCATTTTTAGTTGAAGATCCTGACTCTTCTTCTACAAGAATTTACTACGTAATAATATTGGTAAATTGAAATATTTATAACACATTGATAACAATTACTTTTTAAATTAAAATATGCTAACTGTTGGGCACTTTAATGATATGTTAATGATATGTTAAGATCTACAATAGAACAATTAATATTTGTGTAATATTTTTTGTACGTCACTTTCCAAAGTTCCTTTGTTATAATTGCTAATGCTCGAAGTTCAAGTAGTTTCTGCGTTTCTCCTCTAATCCATCAATGACGTGTTTTTCTATCAACTTTTTGAACTCAGATAGTAAAAATTGTTTATGGTTACTGATATCATCGGTTAACAT